CAGCTGCGACTCAGTTGTTTCAGAACTACGTGAGCCATGCGACGACACAGCTTCTAAAAGACATGATTAAGACAGAAAATCAGATTTAGATCAGAGTAGCTGTCAATATAGAACTGTGGAGAGCGACCAGAGTTGAGTCCCTATTCGTACTCAAGGTTCCTGTTTTATCCACTCCTACATGAAGGTCAAATTTCACGAAAGGTACAGCATTCTTGGGGCCAACTCATCTAAAACTACATAAAAGGTTCTGCAAAGAGCAGGAAGCAGACAACATAGCGCAGCGAAACCTTTTCTGGCCTTAAAAGGTACCAAGGACGAGGAAATTAGAAGAGGAAAACTCCCAGCAGAAAAAAGTTCTGCATATTCTGGATAACAAGCTGGAGCTACCTGTGATCTCAGGCCCTTCGCTAGTACGTCGCCTCTTTCCACCAACATCCGAGTAACTTTCAATGGTCTCTTCTCGCTTTTTCTTCTTTTCTGAAAAAGTGTTCTAAAAGAACATAACCATATCATAGTGACCTATTGGCCGCAGATTTTTACAGGAACGGACTGAATGTCAAGAATTAACCGCTGACTTTTGGTAAGGACTTCTGTAGTTGGTTTGGGCAAATACCAGTATGAGTACCACTTCTCGAAGTTATCTCGCCTGTACTTTTTCATGAAAGGCTAAAACGTCTTCTTTAAAAACTCACTCAAAAATTGCATAAACAAACTTGAAAGCTACATTAGAACAACAGACTTACCGTCATATCAATTTCGACCATATCAGACCGGCATTTGCACAACACAGCGTTCTTTCCAAAGTCTATCCAACGATCAGTAGCGAAATTTGTACTCTCCGCAATATTGTATCCAAGATTGAAGCCCATGTGGTATCCCTAAGCACAGTGAACTTTGCTTCGCTGTTAGTAATCAGTTGTTAGCAGGACCAACTTACATGAGGGAACGTTATTATGAACTCATTAGGGTATTGAATCATAGTGCCATACGGAATTTTGTACTTATCTAATACGGACGGAAGTACCATAAAGCTTTTGTGTCGCATAAATGCCTAAAAATAATGACAGGACTCGAAATGAGGTTTTATTTAAGATTACCTACGAAAAATACCTTGCACTGCCGATCATATGTTGGGAACTGCTGACGCATAAGTCTCTCAAAACGAGGAGCGGCTTCTGGAGGAATTGCGAACCAGTACTTAAAACTATTATTTTAACGCTATGTCCATAGCAAATAGATAGAAGTCACACCTTTGGTGAGCCAAAGTGCAGGTAATTGATGGAATACAGTTCCATATCTTCTACGTGCCATGCAAACGATGCGCCATACATTCCAAAGTAAAGGTAGACGGAAGTTACGCCTTTAATCACCTGAAAAGCGGACCATGGAGCATTACTGCCAGCAATCCTCCGCTGGCACTAGTGCCTCATTCTACTGAATGAATGCACAAGACAAAGGGTGTGTTTCTGTAAGTCGCCCAGAACAGAAATAATACACAGGAGACATTACCGCTCATCACACGACTGACTGGTAATCAGGTCCACGAATCAGGACCTATTCCTATCGAGAGCCGAGCCTTCTACCGACGATTAATTAGAAACAAATTCGACTGAGACAAGTGAACCGAGCAAATAACATTCAAAGCTTCTAGGATTCCATTGGAGAAATTACAGTACGTACAACACGAAGAAGTAAAATATTTTCCCCATTTTCAAACAACACAAAATCTAGCGGAACGCACCTTTCCTCCGGTGGCATCCTTAGTCTCGTCAAGAATGGTTTCAAGCTTCTTCATGTTAAACTCGTCAACACCCTCATCATAGAAAGAACCTTCCGTGTCGGCTCCATAGATTGGATTAGAAATGAACATACTTTTGAAATATTGACTGAAAATTAAAGTGATTGGACTGAAAATGTCTATGAGCTGCAAATAACTTAACACGACAAAGAAGAGGATAAAAACCGACATTTCGAGGTCTTTGCCCCGTAAATCGGGATACGGATTGCGGTACTTCGAACTGTGGGCAAGCTTTCGATATTCGGATGCTGTCATAGATTTCTTATAGACATGATTACTTTTGATGATACCATCATTCGGGCATCTGGCAACGGTTTCCCTAACAGGGCTGCAAAGAAGCAAGCTTTGTTCGTCTATCGGACAAATTCGCTCCGCATCAAGAAAAAAATACCTTTGAATGATGAAATGTTCAACCTGGTCATCCTTGTACCTGAACTTCCCCTTGGTTGGTCGAGCAGTCCAACCTTCAGGAGCTACGATCTTCAAAAAACAATGTGATTCACTGATATATCACACATATATATCCTTGGTTTCAAAATAAAAAAAACGCGAATTTTCATAAATGTTAAGCAAGCTTCACAAGCGTAGAGACTGGCTCACCTTACAAATTCCAGATCTACGATGTGCACCTACAGCTTCAATTTTTTGTATGCATCCTTTGAAATCTTTAAATTCTTCAAGAGTCGGATAGAAAGTGAAGACTTCAAAACCGGGGGTACCGGTTGGAATATGTGGCGGATGATCCTTTCTGAAAAACAAAACCCTCAAACACGACTGAGAATCTCTCGGCGGCTATGTTGGTATAAAAATTAAGGTATAGAAACGTTTTCATAGAAAGGAATTGACATTGTGAGTAATGGTTTCTGTCGCCGATGGGAGCTCTGTCACAACATGCGAGTAGACAGCAGTCGTCAAAAATAAACTTCGAAGTGTCTTGTACAGCGTAACTCGTTATTTCCAGCGTGAGCTGTAGCGCAATACTTTGAAAAAAATAACTTGATAACTCATGAACTTTAAAACCACAAAAAACTTTAATGACAGCACAGTCCGAAATCGGACCACTTTCACGCAGGGGTGACTAGTGTATCGTGTTTGACCTTTTGCAATTTCGAATAACACAGAAAATCAAATCCGGGAAAAAATATTAGTTAACAACAATAAGATTGGTGAAAGGGTAACGAGCATCGACAGAAAAATTTCAAAAATTTTGTCGAGATAGGCACGCGTAAACGGGCCGTCATCAATATATTGAAAACGACACATACACGCTCGTATTAACTGTTTATGATGACGGAATATGACGCTCCATCCAACGGAGATAGAAATGTGCTTAAGGTAGCGGTCATCATAAAAGTAGCCGTAATCCGGTTGAATCGTAATAAAGCTTCGATGAAACTCTTCACGGCAAATCTAGTCCACGACTCGAGCTCGCACACCACTGAAGGCAAGGTGGGGACTTATTTGGGCATGTCGTGCAGTACCTTTCATCTTCTTTACTTCACGAAACATAAAAGTTTGTAGTTATTCTATAAGTCGCACAGTTACATAACTATAAACGAGGAGGTTCACAGAATGGTTAGATACACTTTAGTTTGGCGGAAGGTTTTTGTTCCCCTTCAAATTGTCAGTTCGGTCAACCTCTCGTATCGAGCGAAATTATTCTTCTGTAAAAATTGACCTATCCCATTTCACAACAGCAAATTATTTTGGTTTTCACCACTCAAAATCCAAGCTTGTGAAGTGAAGAGGCTGCGCCCACAAAATCACGCCTGTCCCAGGAGGCAAAAAGGTGAAAACACTAGCTGTCGTCAACATCAAAAAGTTTGCACGACAAGTCGTTGATTGCGATAGTTTGAAGATAAAAAAGAATCGTTAGTTTGTGAGTTGTAAACGGAAAGCAATAAAGAAAGAATGAAGGGACAGAATCACCGAAAGATACATCATATTAAATGTTTCGAGGAATCTATTTCCCAGCTTCTGAACACTCTACCTGAGTAGACTTATGATATTAAAGAAATTGGCAAAAGTGTATTATAGAGCGGAGAATGTACTTTAAAATAATACACCCGGTTTTCCAGGTAGTACTTGTATAGATTGAATTTATACGCTCGAAAAAAACCCACGATATTAGGTTCCAACTCAAAAAATAGGATCAAGAAATCAATGTGTTACGCAAAAGGTCAAGAAAGTTGAACATCAGACAGGAAAAGTGCCAAGCAAAACGGGCGCAGTGTTAGCTTTCAAATAGATACCTTTGCACGCACATGAGTAGAAGGGTCGATCGATAAGTCGAATCTGGAGAGGAGGCCGAAGTGAAATGGAACCAAACGGGGTTCAAGGCAAAGGAAAACGTATCATATTAATCTACTCACAAAAATGAAACGAAAAGCACTTTGTAAGGAGGGGAAGAACAGAACCAGATCACGAGACATTTTTCGAACGACAGAGTAAGAAAAGTGGAGGGCAAAGAGCGGTTGAAGTCAGAAACAGAAAATCGGCGCTAACAGGCGAATGACCAAAAAATTGTAACGAAAAAAAAAACGAAAAAGCAAACAAAGCTTGACCTGTTGGGAAACGGAATCTTGCCACCATCAGCATACAATATCATCTGGCTACAGTCATATTTAAGCCACACACAAACGTGGCCTGAAATTCTGAAGTACAAGCAAATTGAGAAAAGCTTCAAGAAAAAAAAATGGTAGAAACAGCAAATAGAACACACGAAAGAAACTAGTATAATCAATAAAAATTAAAACTGCTGGGAATACCGAGAACTCTCTAGGCTTCATTATTTCAGCCTTTAATTTATTAGACTAGCAATCTAAGGATGGCGTCTCGGTCACAATACACTAATAATAAGGAAGTAACAACATAAATACCGACTTAAGCAAAATCAAGTCGACGTGGGCTAAAAAATCAGACCGCAGAATCGTGAACTTCCCAAACGCGAGCCGCGTTAGACCACTGGATAGCCGTACTAATCTAAACCTACATAGCAATGTAGATTGACCTGAACAAGAATGCGACGCCTACTCTCTGCATTCGCGACCTAGCGATTTTGCGATACGTAATTGCAAACTATGAACGCCGCCCGATTCTGAATTGCGACACAACATATCAAAGGAATCAAAGTGTACAAAGTATTGAGAGCAATATACGGCACTTCACCGATAGCCTACTGGCCGATGTCAGACTTTGCGATTAGAGCGATTTTGCACCAACTGCAGGAGCGACGGATCGCTGAGCGATGCGCGACGCGGGAGATTTACCCGAGCGGCGCCGTGTGCATCGGGTCGGCGAGGGAAATCCCCCGTCGCTCGAATCGCTCAAGCGATCTTTCGCTCCTGCCACTGGTGCATCAAATCGCTCCACCGCAAAGTCTACATCGAGCCACCTGGTCACCATATCCAAGTAAATACGAAAATTGCCTGAAACCGCGAAAGAAACAATATCATCCCCACACGGAAAATCCGTTGAATGAAAAACACGTACACTATGTCAAATTATCCTTTTCTATAAATTCGATTGTTATTTGTTATTGTACTATGCCAACTACCATAAGCCTGTCTCGTTACTGTATGAAGAATCCGATGGTTTGAGATGCTCTCAAAGACGCAAAGTTCAAAAACAAGGTACTGCGCGTAGGACGCGAGTTTTGTCACAGGAGAACTATTGAGAGCAACATCTTTCCTATGAAATAGTTGCCTTTAGTTGACGTGAACTTCGGCCGCAATGTGGCTCAGGGGGGCGCGGGGCACTCTGGGAAGCGCACTAAGACTATGCCTAACGGGACGAACTCCCTCGAGACAATCACGTAAAATTGCTCTCCGTCTTCGAATTCCTCTCCCTTGTCACCTAAGCCTTGTCCTAAACGGAGCGCTTACCGTGATCTTGAACGCCTTCGATGTTGCAGGCTGCCCCCCCGCCGACCCTCCTTTCCCCGTGGCCCCTGTAGACCGACGTCATAGTCGGCGACGGAACAAGCGATGGAGCGATCGCGATCGCTCCATCGCTTGTCCGTCGCTTGCCAATCGCTCTCGGTCGAGCGATTGGCAAGCGATTGCGCAATCGCTTGCAAAGTGCACAAGCGACGGCAATGGCTCTGCTCGATCGATACCGCAGCCGACTGCATCGACTGGGGGCGGGGCCAATCGCCCGTCGCTTGTGCACTTTGCAAGCGATTGCGCAATCGCGTGCCAATCGCTCGACCGAGAGCGATTGACAAGCGATGGAGCGATCGCGATCGCTCCATCGCTTGGTCCGTCGCCGACTATGACGTCGGTCTTATCATTAAAGTAGCTTTGAATTTCATTGTGTCCCCCCACTTCGCCAACTCCCACAAAGCTACCAAAACACGGTCTATCGAAGAATCGACCTGCCACTATAAATGCCAGCCGTCCCACTATGGTTTCATACTACTATACTAGCATTTCTTGACGACGACTGTTTGAGTGCCATCCCAATAATGAGATGACAGCTGAACGACGACACATGGTTGTCTAAAAAACTCAAATTTGCCGCAAAGTCCTCAGACTATCAAAACGCCGTACCCACCATGCGCGTGCGTGTGTTCGCTAGGGCCGTATCTGAATGTGCGTACGGCGCTGGGTCCGCCGACCGCCGCGCTGCTCGATGTTGGGCTCCCCATACAATCTCTACAGAGTTTCGTCGCGGGACCAGGCGGCCACTGACCGGTCCTTTGATTTTACGGATTACCTTTTCACCTTTTCCCTGTTTTATATTGTAAATTTGTCCATGTATATACAGCTATATTGTTGTAATTGCGTTAGTACATCCTTTGATTCATTTATATGCTGGATCGTTCGTGTACGTCTAGCTATATTGCCATAATCTTGCCAGTCTGTCAATTCACTACTTTAGACTGAAGTTTGGTTCGCGTCTTCTATTACTTCGTCACATTGGTGTATTACTTCAATATGGCAATGTGTGCGTGGACGAATCTGTAATCTAGAACAGTGAAAAGACAAAAACTTCATCACAGAATTAAAGGACTGGCCAGTCACCTGTAGGTCCCGCGACGAAACTCTGCTGGGAGCCCCAACATTCAGCATCGCGGGTCGGGGACCCCAGCCCCTACCCAACATTCAGCATACGGCCCTGGACAGAAAGGAATTTTTCGCGTTTCGCAGCGCGAAAACATTTTTCGTTGCGGGAACCTCAGGTCCTACCTCTGATCATTAGTGGACCCGAGGTTCCCGCAGCAAAAAATGTGTTCGCGCTGCGAAACGCGAAAAAGTCGCTTTCTGTCCTAGTGAACACACCCGCCATGCGCCCCCTGTCACTCACTTTAAGCATGACCATACCTCCGCGGTAAATCGTTACCGTACCTGAACCCTGTTAATGATTCACCTAAAGTCCATTTTCATGAAGAAGAGCGATGCCATTCTTTGAGTAGAATAATCGAATAAAAATTACGGTATTATTTGTCCACTACTCATTGGGGGATAGCTATTATTTCCCGAACTTTTCTTAGCGCCACTAATTATTTTTCAGCAGGAACAGTTGCCATGTGAAAGCAAGCCAAAAAAGCCATATAGTTCCAAAATCAGGCTGCGGACCAGAGATGAGCACCCTTCTATATTTCCAGTGCAATACGACTAATTACTTTTTCAACACCGTAGCCTAAAGTCCTTGTTGGGTCTTAACGCTTGCCTCGTCCCAAATGTGCAGCAGCATTCCCATTTGAGCCCTGGTTACGGTTTGCTATCTTACAATTCTTCCATAGAAGTTGCCTTCAACGAACCGTATCGTATGATCGATACGTACTCACTTCACACTCAAATTGCAAACGAAGTTCAAGGCAATACCAAGGTATGACCGCAGCCTCACCTTTCAACTAATGTAAAAAAACGAAAACATTCGAATGCAAAAAGATGCATGTTCTAGACCAAGATGTTCGTACTCTACATCCGACAACAAATCCTCAAAAAGAGTTAGCTGTAGCAGTATCTCAAAATAGAAAGCGAGCATATAACTGGTACCCTTGGAAAAATAGAAAAATGAGATGGATAAACAGTAAACGGAAAGCGTCTATTACGTCCTCACAACCACATGACGCGGAATCTTTACACAAACTCACAATACGATGAATAACTTGGTGGTAGTTCTATGCTTACTTAAGAACTACATTTTTAACCCATTCGCGACCGCGCAGGATTTTCAATCTGCCCGTTCGGACGAGCTTTGTTTGAGACGATCGCAAAGCGGCAGCTACCGGTGGCCATCATTGTCCCTCGCGACCCTTTCTTGAAGTGAGGTGAAGTGGCAAAAATCAACAATTGGTGCTGAAACTTTTTCCATGAGGGCAACCGGTGGATGAAATGGTCCCAAGTGAGCATCTTCGCGGTCAGCACCGGTGGCTGCCATTGTCGCGAATGGGTTAATAGGTTTTTTTGGAAGATGTGGTGTGTTGTACCCCACTCAAACACCCTGTAAGTCGCTCTTTAAGAGTCAGGTAACATAGAAACAAAACATTCAAATCGTCATTCAATCCACTATCTGCATGAGGTCACTCACAAACCTATTTCAAAGATTTATGCTACATCAGCAGGAAGACTTGATATCCTTTGTTCCGTGCAAATTCCGTGTTTGGTTGGGTAGCAAGTTGCAACACACCACTTTCAAAAAAAAAAACCTATCAAAAATGTAAAATGGTCAAGTAAACATAAAAGACTACAGCAAAGATTCTATCCATAAGCCTTGTATAGAATGACTTGCGAAGTTTGCTGATCAATGGGAAACCCTTAATTACGCTGATGATGAATACCTGACAGAATACACTGTTGCGTTTTCCTTCCTAATTTTATTTTATGAATTAATTTTATGATTATAGCAGTTACAGAAACAAAATGTAATAGTTAGCACCTGAAAGCTAATGAGAATATTAATAAGATATCCATCTAGGGATTAATATCCTCCACCATTCCGATCCAAGGAAAAAACCCACCAAAATTCACATACACTAAAAGAAGTAGTTATTGTGACTATAAAGTTATTTTCGCGGCTTGGATATTTGATTGTGTCGTATCTTCACCATTGATTACTAAGACAATATTATACTGCTTTGCGCTCGATCGTTAGTCGATGGCACGCGATGTTTAATATTCCTTTTGAATCCCACCTCGAGTCCTTCTTTCCTAAGGCTAAAAGGATTGAACTCATCCAAGTAGGAGGATTAACTCGGCGTAGTTTACAAATTATTTTACGAATTCCTTAAACTAAACATAGGGCGAGCCACCCGATCACATGTAAGCCACCAAGGTTTTAATAACCACACCCTCTGTTCCTCAGAAATGACATAATAGCCAGCACAGTACGCGTCACATCGCCGTTTTTTCGCTGTATTACCTGCAATTCCGATTTCAATTAACTTATTTACATTGCAAACTACTGTTGAAAATCTGCTAAAAATGGCTCAAAAAAAGCCTATCCGAATCATCGCCTTTTCGGGGTATTTAGTGTTCATCACTTATTTAAATCCATCATGAACCTATTTCCCTAATCTTTCCTCATTCTCCTACCAACAAATAGTTCACGCATGCACACCACGATACTTATTTAGGAAAACCGCAGCCCATTTGTCCCTTCTCGAAGCGTGAGTGAAAAAGGCACTAGAATCAGACGGCGCGGGTCGCATACCGTTTGAACGGCGTGCTTGCGCGCGCTTGCAAATATCCCAATTCCCGCCCCACTGAAAGCGACAGCCAAATTCAATAGCGTGTTTATGGGACGCTCGGTCGCCGCGTATCGATTCGAGCGAACACGGGCATCACTCGCACTCAGTCGCCGCCGTGGTCGCCCTTCTCGGCTATCGATCGCTGCTCAGTCCCTTGTCGTTTCCCCCTTTCTACGGCGTTTTCCTCTTGCTACGACTCTTCATCCCTCCATACCTCCACAGGCAGCACTTTTCCGAGCAGTGCCAAATCCGTCTCTATTTCGCGGTCTTTGACACTGTTGTCAACAGTGTGCCGTGTTTCGACTACGGCTACTCACCGGTTACCCCTTGCTCGCCCGTATTTCTACCAGCCACAACTACCGGGTGTAGAGGACGATATCTAGTTGTTGTAGTGTGCAGATGGAGGCCAGGCGTTGGGTGCAGGGCTGGGCAGGTGCTGCCCGCCTGCCGCAGTGGTCGCGGCGCGTGCGAATCGGTGGTTATACCGCCCGGCGGTGATCGAACGTCCCCGATGACGCATTTCGCCATTTCTAGCGCCGCGCTGCGAGCACCTCACCAAGCTCGCCACTTCACCATCGGTTCCATATAAATCATCTCACTCAAGTCTATAAGATCTCATAAAACCTTCGATCCTTTTCTGTAAGAATGTGCTCTTACAGGGTCAGACAGTCTATGATTTCCATGCTTCTCTCAACTAATTAGGCTCGTATAACATCTCATAATACTTTTGAACAATGGCCAAAGCTGCGAAGAAAGCCTCTCCTACCAAAAAGGATTCCAAGCCAAAGAAGGGCAGTAAGACCAAAGTAAGTTTTGACTTATTCTTATCTCCTTGACTTCTCTCTGACTCCTTGCATAAGGTATATCAAGTAACTTTTCAGGATCCAAATGCTCCGAAACGTGCCATGTCTGCGTTCTTCTTCTGGATGGCCGACAACCGTGAGAGAATAAAGAAGCCGGGTATGGGTGTTGCCGATGTTGCGAAAGCTGCTGGTGTTGAATGGGGCAAAGTCACGGACAAATCGGTTAGTTATATAGACTACGATTTTTTTTCCGTTTTTTGCAGGGAGAAATATGATATTCGTGATATTGCAGAAGTGGGAGAAGAAAGCTGCTGAGGACAAGAAACGTTACGAGTCAGAAATGGCCGCGTATAAGGCAAGCGAGTAATTGGATGTCGACTGATCTACCTCTGGACCAAGATCCAATTGCTACCCAGTGTTCCGTGATACTCATCTGTATATAACTTTCATGTACCTGTCACTATCCGACCTACTTCTTTACCTTTTCTTTGGACACCGAAGTGTGTTGATAGAAAGTTTTGTGTAAATGTGTGTAGAACTTGTAATTGGAATGAAGTTGCGAAGGACAATTGTTGAAACGTTTTTCAAAATGTGTATATCTGATATGTTGTGCGGTGATGGTGTGCCGCTCTAGTACTCTATCTGAGATGGGAACATTCCCAGTGGGCCGCTGTGGTCGCGTTAGGTCAAGTGTCAGCGTGGCTGCGAAAACAGAGGGCCGGGTCGCCGCCCGCATGCCACCTGTCTCCTAATGGTCGCGGGCGTGTCGTCTGCTGCCTCACACAGATTAGCCACTGCACCATTTGAAACCCTAGCAACTAATGGGACGAACGCGTAGTCCTTGAGCCATTCAAGGCTTCCCAGGGACGATTGCTATCTGAGAGGCGCACGGTCACACCAGAGCAGGGAAAACTTACCCAATAAAGGTAACTTTTGAACAGTTGCGGTTTGATTATATCCCAAGTCAGAATATGTCAGAAGGCTCGGTTTTAATAGCTTTGGTTATTGAGTAGAATCGATATGTTCCATGGAAGAGGCGTTCGCTTTTGGTTTTCGCCCACAGTGGTCGCCAGCACGTAGTCCGCAGCTGGTCTATCGTTCGCTTGAAACTGCCCGCTGTGTGAGAACTAATCGGGCTCAAAGGGAACAAGAACAAGGTTAGAAAAAAACCGAGATCAATATCATCGGAGCGACACCCACATATTCCCATTGAATAAATATTCTTGTGCAGGGTAACATTTCAAAGCCCTGTTCTCAGCCCACGAACGTACCGCGTTCGCGAGGCCACTCTCTTCAAAGACGCTATCCAGCGCTCACTGCAGTGCGCTCACAATTGTTCGCATTCGCTGTCCAGTCATGCGTTCCGTTGTCACGAAAGCCGTTTTATTGACTTGCTTTTGACTCCGCAAATCCTTAGGGTTTTCGGATCTGCTTACAATTTCCATGGGTCTCTTGTTTTTTGAACGAATTCGCAGCAGTCGTCTACATCACCAAATCTGGGAGTGATTTGTGGAGTGGGCGATGGATTACTTCGGTGTGTAAATGTCTTCTGGTGCAGGACACAGTTAACAATTTCTTAAAGAGCTGAAAAGCTCACCATTAGGAATCAAATTTGATCAGGTACGTAAGTCATCTTGTCCTAGCTGGGAGAGGGCCGAGTTCCCCACATGCTCTCCAGCGAGTCCTTTTTGGTGAATCTATGCAAATGAATTGGTGCATTGAGGTGGGCGGAGCAAAATTCAAAGATCGCAACATGATACCGAGAAGCAGGGTCAACCGTACGTTCGCCATTTTCGAACGAGGGGTCGCATTTGGGGTTGCGCAAGGTTAACTACCTCTAGCAAATGTGCGAACAGGGGTCGCATTTTTGGAGGTTGAAGGGTTCTGCTGGTGGAAAAGGGGGTTGGATTCGGAGAGAAAAAGTGGCCGGAGTTAGGCTGCGTCAACTGCTCTCAGAATCAAATAATACGCCAGCAGCCATGGTAGCGAGGGTGGGGGAGAGGGGGTCGTACTGGAAAAGTCTCCCTAGACTGATGGTGGTCGTGGTGGGTCGCATCGAGACCCCCTCTCCCCCTCTTTGGTGGGGGAAGGGTCACAAAATTTCTGGAAAAGTACAAACGCGGCGGTCAACCTGCTGAGAAGGCTCGCAAAAATGGATAGAGTCTGAGCAATTCAGCTCGGATCTCTGCGAGCAAACGAAGGCATAGAGCCGCAGCAATACATGGATATCATCGATGGAAAGAAAATAGCTTTGGCGTCAGGTTCCTCGTTGGGCGAATTACCTGTCCAACGAGCCTAGCAAAATCAAATGGATGTTCTGCACTTCCAGTAAAATTTTTTGAGAACGTCCACCGTTAAAAATGCGCAGTGAGTGAAAACATTTGACAGAAACTCGAGGGAACGTGGAATAAACTTATGCCGAGAAAAAATACCTAACTTTCTCTTGGTCCACTGGTTGGGATTAGAACTACTCAGGGAGAATACCCTGACCTATTCATAATTTAGAACGGAGAATTATATATTTTGCCCATATTTTCATCTTTTCCTGTTTATGTTGGTTTTTGTAGGCAACATTAACCACAAGACATGTGATTCATTACCAAATGAAAATGAGGAGGTTGATTCACTTTCACTATGCGCCGCGCATCCGTTTTCCGTTTGAAATTAGGACGTTATACGCGGGGGTCTTTTCCACAACGTTTGATACTAGATAATTAACACGTTGACGACACGCCCTTGTGCGCGAACCTACCCACCTTACTTTACAAATTTGCATTAACAGTTACTACATTACCAATAATTTCATTAGTGGTAACGAGAGAACTATTTTTCGTATCCAACAGTAGG